CGTCCACCGCCACCCCCACCACCGCCTCCGCCCCTGCCACCTCCCCCGCCGCTGCCGCCACCACCACCGCTGCCACTAGCCCCTCAAGTCGCGCCACTACCCCCACGCGCCGCCACCGCCCCCACCACCGCCTCCCCCGCTGTCACCGCCACCGCCCTTGCCCCCTTTGCCCTTGCCGCTGCGGCGCCCGCTCGAAGCAGACGCAGTCCCGACCTTCTCAGCACCAAGGAGGTCGAGAGCAGCAGCAGAGGCGACAGAGGGAAGAAGGGGGGAAGGAGAACACCCCTCAAAGAACGGGGTAAGGGGGTCGCCACGAGAGGCAACCTACAGCGACTATGCCTAGCCTCAGCTGCAAGGAGTTCCTTCTCGAGGAGGGCAATGGTGAGCTCAGTGGGGCAGCGAGCTAGGAAGTGGTCCCTAACTGAGCGCAGAGTGTCAGGGAGGCGGGTGACTAGGTGGTAGAGAGTGAGCCAGAGTGGGGTGTGGGTCTTGGCAAGGAATTCATCAGGCATGGCGGCGCGGGGAAGCGAGCCTCACTAGTGCGGAGGTGCGTAATGAGGTCCGCAACTGTGTGAAAGAGGCTAAGTCGGGGAACAGGTAGGGAAGAGAGAGACGCCTAGTGCGGCAGAGGCCGCGTGAGGAGTAGCGGGCAACGACAGCAGTGTACAGTGCCTGTTGCAGTCTTGTGCTGCCCAAAGTGCTCTCGCCTCATCTATCGGCAGGGAGTTGCGAATACCGAAGCGAGCGTGGGCGTCACGAGTCTGCCACTCGTGAGCGGGCAGTGCTGTCAGCAGAGTAGCAGCAGGAGCAGGAGCATGGCCTGGGGCGTGATCGTACAGTGAGATGTCACTCCTTGGCAGTGAGCTGTAGGAAGAGGTGTAGGTCATCTAGCCTGGTTTCGAACTTCACTGGGCGCCCCAGCATCGAAAGCTAGCACAGGAGAGGGCTAGCCATAGCAGTAGTAGGAGTAATAGCAGTATGGGGACCCCAAAAAACAGTAGGCAGTGCGACTCAGGTAGGGCGGCTTGGTCAGTACGGGCGGCGCGGCTCTGGTTTGGGCTGGGCGGCTCGGTTCGGGCGGCTCGGTTCGGGCGGCTCGGTTCGGGCTGGCGGCTCGGTTCGGGCTGCTCGGGTCGGGCGGCTCGTTCTGGGGGGGGGGGCGTTCGGGACCTCTAGGGGCGAGCGCGGGGCCGTAAGGGGCCGCTAAGGGCGAGCGCGGGGCCGATCGGGGCCTCTAGGGGCGAGCGCGGGGCCGTAAGGGGCTGCTAAGGGCGAGGGCGGGGCCGTTCGGGGCCTCTAGGGGCGAGCGCGGGGCCGTAAGGGGCCGCTAAGGGCGAGCGCGGGGCCGACGGGGGCCTCTAGGGAGGTGAGCGCGGGGCCGACGGGGCCGTTAGGGGCGATCGCGGGGCCGACAGGGTCGCTAAGGGGCGAGCGCGGGGCCGTAAGGGGCGAGCGAGCGTGGGCCGACGGGGCCTTAAGGGGCGGCGCGCGAGTCGCTAAGGGGCGGGTCGCGGGTCACGGGGCCTTAGGGGGCCGTGAAAAACGAGGCGCCCTAGGGCGCAGGTAGGTAGGTAGGTAGTGGTGGGCCCTAAAAAAAACGGTCCTAGCGAAGGACCTGCTCTATACCATGTTGAAATGAACGAACAGGAATGGTTGAACTAACAGTGAAATCAGTACAAGTACCTAACCCTAGAATTGTGTACCCCCTATAGGCTAACCCACTGTAGCCTAAACAAGCACAACATATATAATGTTTGACAGTCTTGAAAGAGGAGCTTTACATGAGGCAGCCACTTGGTTTTGATGATGGGTCCGGCAGAGTTTGCTGACTCAGGAAATCAATCTATGGGCTAAAGCAAGCTCCAAGGCAGTGGTACCTCAAGTTTGATGAGGCGCTGATGGATTTTGGGTTTGAGAGGTCGGAGTGTGACCCCACCTTGTACCACTTGGTGAGGGGTGAGGGCAGGTTGTCCCTCTACCTCTATGTGGATGACATTCTGCTCATGTCTTCGAGCATGGTCTTGCTGGATGAGGGTGAAGGGTCTCTTGTCCTCCTGTTTCCGCATGAAGGACTTGGGGGAGGGCTAAACACTATTTGGGGGTGCAGATAGAGCGTGATGAGAGTGGCATTTCGATTCATCAAGAGAGGTACATTCTCAACATGCTTGAGTCCTTTGGCCTTTTTTAGGCTAACCCCGTGCGTACTCATCTCCCTACAGGTGTTCGACGTGCATGCACATGCGAGGAGCCCTTTCTGAGGATGAGCTGGTCCAGCTCTATCAAAGCATTATGGGGTCGCTTATGTATGCAAGCACTACCACACAGCCCCAGATTTCTTATGCAGTGTCACAGCTATCCAAGGTGGTGTCTTGTCCCAAGGAATTTCACCTGCAGGCTGCTAAGAGAGTGCTAAGGTACCTTGAAAGGTTGTGTCAAATCAGGTATCTTCTACCCGCACACAACAAGCCTCAGGTTGAGTTCGTGGGCTTTAGTGATGCTGATTATGCTCGAGATTCAGCTGATGAGTTGGTGGTGGAGCCATATCTTGGCAGAGCAAGAGGCAGCCGGTGGTTGCATTATCCACCACTGAGAGTGAGTACATCAGCCTGTGTCAGTGCATTCAGGAGGGTGTGTGGCTGAAGCGTTTGTTTGGGGAGTTTGGGCATGAGTTTGCTGGTGGTGTGCTGTGTTTGTGGACAACTAGTTTGCCATTGCCCTTGCACAGAATGCATGCTTGCATGGCCGCACAAAGCACATGCAGGTTCGGTGGCATTTCATCAGGGAGATGGTGGCAAGCGGCGAGGTGATCCTCTGGTGGTGCCCAACCAAACCGTCAAGCAGTAGACATACTCACCAACCCCTTCCCTTGAGCGGCACGGTGTGTGCATGTCCCTGATTGGGGATGCAGCCCCATGATGACATGGTGCGTGAGGAGGATGTGGGAGGGCTGGTGCTTCTATGCCTTGACGACATCATGCTGTGGATGGCGCCCCTCCCTGGGCAAGGGGGAGTGGAGTGAAGGATTTTGCCCAGTGGTGTTCAGCCACATCCAGCACGAGCAAGGGGGAGTGTTGATTGTGTAGGTGGTTGTGGTATTTTGCTCTAGCTAGTTGTGGGCTAAGGGTTTGGGCAAAATGTGCTTGTTAGACTTGTTGCGGGCTGGAATTGATCTCGCACCCAACAAGCACCAACAAACCTTTGCTATTCACAGCAACACCTTTGGTGTTGCTAGTTTAGCACTTTGGGTTGTTGGGGATTGTTGTAGGGCGAGGGTTGGGTTGGTAGGGTTTGAACAACTCGTCACTTTGCAGATTTGAAATCTTGCTAAAGCTACTTTCTTGATCTAATCCATGGCTGCCAAGTAATTTCGCTAGGATACCCCGTCGCACTTAAATCGCGGATAGCGATCGGCCTGGATCTTGGTTGAAGACGTGCGATACCATTCTGGAAAGTAGAAATTAAGCCGTTCTAACGCGTACCTGCTCATAGTTTAAGGTTACGTGAGCTGCACGCAATATTCCGTCGAAGTCGGCGGACTTAATCTCTTGTACGCTCTCCAGATTCACTCTCTTTCCATCAAGAGAGGGCGAGTGACGAGGAGGTACAGGGTGAAATACTTGTCAGAACTATATAGCTTATACTATTGTGTAGGCTATAGTGGGTGTATCCCATAGGGGGTACAACCCAATTAGGGTTTCCTATTTGTACTCACTTCTTTCATAGTCATTCCATTCTCGTTCTCCTCTTTCACATGGAATCAGAGCAGGTCCCCTACTAGGGACTGTTTCTTGGGCCCCCACCGAAGCGCGCCCCGAGGCGCGCGTCCTTTATTTTTAGCGACCCGTCGTGTCGCCCTCCCTAGCGGCCTGTCGAGCCGCCCCCTACCTTGCGGCCCCGCCGCCCTATCGCGCGGCCTCGCCGCCCTAAGGTCGCGGCCTGCCCGCCGCCCTACTTCGACGGCCCCGCCGCCCTACGTCCGTGGCCCGCCGCCCTACTTCGACGGCCCGCCCGCCGCCCTACGTCGCGGCCCCCGCCGCCCCTACGTCCCGGCCCGCCCGCCGCCCTACTTCGACGGCCCGCCCGCCCGCCCTACGTCGCGGCCCCGCCGCCCTACGTCCCCGGCCCGCCCGCCCGCCCTACTTCGAAGGCCCGCCCGCCGCCCTACGTCGCGGCCATGAAGCCCTCAGCTACGCGGCCCCCGCACGGCCTTCTGCTCGCGGCCCTGCCGCCCTCTGCTACGCGGACCCCGCCGCCCCTCGATCGCGGCCCCGCCGCCCTCTCCCTACGCTGGCACCGCCGCCCTCTGCTCCGCGGCCCCGCCGAGCCGCCCAGCAGCAGCCGAGCCGCCGCCGAGCCGCCGCCGCCTGAGCCGCCGCCCGGGCCGCCGCCGAGCCGCCGCCGCCTGCGCCGCCGAGCCGGAGCCGCCCGAGGCCGCCCGCCCAGACCGCCCAGCAGCAGCCGAGCCGCCGCCGTAGCCGCCGCCGCCCGAGCCGCCGCTGAGCTGCGACCGAGCCGCTCCGCCCGAGCCGCCCGAAACCGCCCGAGCCGCCCCGAGCCGCCCGAGCCGCCCGAGCCGCCGTGCTGCTGTTCCTGAGCTGTGTTCTTCTGCTGCTGACCTACCCGACTCTCCCAGCCCGGTGAGACTTCCAGCTGCTGCCATGGCCACCCCCAATGTTCTTACTTTTGACGCTGAGGGGAGGGCCATTGACTTTTGCCGTCTGGATTGAAGACCTGCAGCTGTACTTACTGTGTGATGCGATAGATGAGGTCTCCTCTTTTTGACTTTGTCTCTGGCGCTGTTCCTGCCCCACCTGCTGATGCTGACTCTGCCGTTCGCTCCAAGTGGGCGACCCGCGATGCTGCTGCACGTCTTGCTGTGCGTCGCCACCTCCCTTCCTCTGAGCGTGCCCACTTTAGTCAGTGCAAGTCCGCTCAGGCCTTGTACGACGCTGTAGTTGCACGCTACTCCTCCCCTTCCTCCGACTACCCTTAGCCGCCTCATGCTACCGTTTCTCTTCCCTGACCTCGCTTCCTTTCCCACTGTCGCTGACCTCGTTACCCACCTCCGTGCTAGGGACACCCGCTACCGCGCTGCCCTTCCTGCTGAGTTCCGCGCTGCGAACCCTCCTCCCATGTACATCACCCTCTACTTTCTCGTCACCCGTCTCCCTGAGTCCCTTCGTGTCGTTAGGGACCAGTTTCTCTCTGTCTGTCCCACCAAGCTCACTGTCGACCTCCTTGAGGAGTCCACTGCTAGCGGCTGAGAAGAGTATGTTGACTGTAGGGGCCTTCTCGGGGTGACCCTCGCACCCCCATCTTTGAGGGGTGTGGTCCTTCCCCCCTGCCTGCCCTCTGTTCGCCTCTGCCGCTGCGGGCCGACCTCACTGGTTTTGAGTCGGTCGGCGCGGCGTCTGCCCCAGCGGCAGACGCCGCTCTGGCAAGAGCAAGGTGGGGCAGGGGAGCGGGTGGAGCTCGAGGGGGCGGTGGAGGAGGCGGTGGGGGTGGCGGGGGGGAGGTGGGGGTGGCGGTGGGGGTGGTGGCGGGAGTGGAGTTACTTGGTGGCGGCGGTGGAGGCGGAGGTGGCGGCGGAGGTGGTAGCGGAGGAGGCGGTGGGAGCGGTGGGAGCGACGGACCTGGTGGGGGAGGTGGCGGTGGAGACGGAGGTGGCGGTGGAGGCGGGGGTGGCGGTGGAGGCGGGTCGTCGGAGTGGCTCGTCCCAGCGGAGCAGCTCTGGGGTGTGGTCAGCGCCAGCAGCTAGCTAGCAGGCAACAGCAGCAGCCGCAGCAGCAGCCCAGCAATGCAGCAGCACTCTCGCCACCGTCCCCGGCCCTCAGCAGCTCCGTTGAGTGGTACTTGCAGCGTCAGCGTGGTGGTGCGCTTGGTCCCCTGCCCCCTACGTTCTTCGCACAGGTGACCGTGCAGGGGAGAGTGTGGAGGGCGCCACACAGCCCGCCGCTGCTTTGGCCGCCTGACGACGCCTGGCGTCAGCAGTTTCCGGAGGCCGCTGAGATCCCCCGCTGGGGAGAGCTGTCTAGGGCTGGTGTAGCTATTTATGATCTTGATTTTGATGCTATTCTCTCTGCTATGTATGCTGTGACTGGTAGTGATGAGGATGACTGTTACCGGTGTTTCCCGCCCGACCCGGGCATTGGTACTGCCGCGTCAGGTACTAGTGAGGCTGCTGCTCTAGGTGCCAGTGCGTCTGTGCTCTCAGGTGCTGGTGAGTCTGCCCTCTCAGGTACTGTGTCGGCTTCGGCCTCTCACCACCTTCACCCTTGACTCTGGAGCGTCTCGCCTCCTTCTTTAGGGACCCGCACCACTCTCACGCCGCTGAGTCGGCCGGTTGCGGTGTCCCTGGCTGACCCCTCTGGGGGGCCTGTCCTGTCTCGCTTCTCCACTGTCCTCCCGTGTCCGGCGGCCCCCTCTGGCACCTGACTGGTCTCTACCCTCCCCTCGTTCTCGACGAACTTGGTGAGTGGTGCTGACCTCCAGGATGCGGGTGTCCACCAGTTCACCCCTGCTCGTCAGCGGGTGACCCACTGCACGGAGGCGGATACAGGTCGCCACCTGGCTACGTTTACACGTCGGCCAGGTCGAGCCTGTACACACTGACCACTGCTTCTCCTCCAGGTGCTGAGTCTGGTAGGGTCCCTTCGTTTGGTCAGGTGTTTGCTTGCAGCGTCCAGGTCTGGTCCTGAGTCTGCCCCTTGCTCGTGTCGTCGTCTGTCTCACGAGACCCTCCTCTGGCACCACCGCCTTGGCCACCCCTCTCTGCTTCGGCTCAGAGGCATGGCCTCGCGAGTCCTTGTGTCTGGTCTTCCCCGGTCTCTCCCTCCCCTTCCTCCGGGCCCTGGCCCTACCTGTGTCCCCTGTGTCGAGGGGCGCCAGCGTGCTGCCCCTCACTCCTCCCAGTTTCCTCCGACAGAGGCCCCGTTGCAGACGCTTCACATGGACGTGTGGGGCCCAGCCCGCGTCCGTGGACAGGGTCAGGAGCGCTACTTCCTGCTGGTGGTTGACGGACTACCTCGCGTTACACCAACAGTCTTCCCCTTGCGCAGGCAAGGGTGAGGTCAACTGCGGTGTTGATCGACTGGATCCGCGCAGCTCGTCTCCAGCTTCGGAGAGCTTTGGCTCTGACTTCCCTGTTTTGCGTCTGCACTCGGACAGAGGCGGAGAGTTCTCCTCTGGCCTCCCTGAGTGCCTACTGTCGTGCACGAGGCATCCGGTCAGACCTTCACGCTTCCCGGACTCACCACAGCAGAATGGGATTGCTGAGCGCCGCATTGGCATGGTCCATGGACGTCGCTCGTACGTCCATGATGCATGCGGCTGCTCCCCATTTTCTGTGGCCGTTTGCGGTCAGGTACGCTGCGCACCAGATCAAACCTCCACCCCAGGGTCTCTCGACCGGAGACCTCCCCAGCCCTGCTGTGGACGGGGAAGGTTGGCGATGCGTCGGCGTTCCGGGTCTGGGGATCTCGGGCGTTTGTTCGCGACCTGTCTGCGGACAAGCTGTCCCCTCGTGCTTCTCCCTGCGTCTTCCTGGGGTTCCCCCCCGACGCCCCTGGGTGGCAGTTTTACCACCCCAACCTCTCGACGTGTTCTGTCCTCCCAGGACGTCACGTTCGACGAGTCGGTACCCTACTACCGCCTCTTCCCCTACCGCACTCCGTCCCTCCCCCCACCCCCGCTCTTCCTGGGTACCAGGTCCCCCCCCGGTAGTCCCCCCTCCCCCCCTCAGGGTCCTGCCCCTTCAGGTGTGTCCCAGGTAGACGCGGTCGAGCCTTTCGAGGTCACTGGTGACTCTGGTGGCTGCTGCGGGAGCTGAGCCTGGGGGTGCGGAGTCTGGGGTTGCTGAGCCTGGGGGTGCTGAGCCTGGGGGTGCTGAGCCTGGGGGTGCTGAGCATGGGGGGTGCTGAGCCTGGGGTGCTGAGCCTGGGGGTGCTGAGCCTGGAGGTGCCGAGCCCTGGGGGTGCTGTGCCTGGGGTTGCTGAGCCTGGGGTGTGCTGTGCCTGGGGGTGCTTCGTCTCGCCGGGAGCCACTCTCCCCGCAGGAGCTGCGTGAGTGGTTTGCCAGGCGCTGGAGGTGTGCTGCTGGTGCTGGTGGTTCTTCGGCTGCAGAGGGTACTGCTGCCTTGCGTCCCCGCCGGTGCTCGTACTGTGGGTGGCTGGAGCTGCTGGGTCTGAGAGTTTCTCCTGGAGCGGGGTGCTACTGAGGGTGTTGGCGCTGAGCCTGCCGTTGGCGGTCCGACTGACAGTGCTCCTGGTGCTGCTGCTGGAGGTTCTGGAGCTTCTGGTGGTGCTGCTGGAGGTGCTGCTGGAGTGTGGTACTCCTGCCGGGCCTGCTGGTACTGTTCCTGCTGTTTCTGGTGTCGCCGCGCGGCCCCGACCTTACTTCGTTCCGCTCCCTGCAGCAGGTTCTTGGTCTTCCGCCTCCTCCTCCTCCTCCCTTAGAGGGTCCGCAGCCTGTCCGGTCACAGGCCACAGCTACAGCCTGCCTCCCCTTTGCCTGCTCCGTCTTCCCTACACTGGTCCGACTGGAGGTCTTACTGAGCGTCGTGAGCCCTGCGTCTCGTCCTGTGTCGCCTGTTCGTACTGAGCGCGCTAGTGGTCGCGGGTCGCTGTCAGCGTCCTCCTCCTGTTCCTGGCACGCACCGGATGTCACTGCGTCCGTCCACTGCTCCTCTGCGTGCCCCTTTGCCTTCTCCTCCTGCCTCCTCTCTTCCTGCTCTTGCCGACCCGGAGTCGGACTCTCTTCGTGCTGCCAGTCCTACTGTCACGCTTCTCCTTTCTACAGCTGTCACTGACCCTTCCTTCGAGTCGTCTGCTGCGTCTGCCCTTGTCACTGAGCTTGTCGACTTTGCTGCGCGCTGTCGTCTAGACTACGCTGCCCGTCTTGTCACTGAGTCTGAGTCCGCCTGTCCTCCGTCCGTCGGGGGTGAGTGTCGCCCTTGGCACGGACGTCCTTGAGGACAGGCATGTGAGGAGTTCCAGTGTCTAGCCGCCGCTTCACCTCGTCCTCGCGTCTGTACTGCTAGCCCCTGAGGGAGACCCGGATGCACCAGACATCCCGACTCCGCGCTCTTACGCGGAGGCGATAGAGGGTCCCTACTCCTCTCAGTGGCAGGTCAGCTATGGATGCAGAGATGGCTTCCTGGAAGTCCACAGGCACCTACGTTGACGCTGTTCCCCCCCCTGGGGCGAACATCGTCAGTGGCATGTGGATTTTCAGGGTTGAAGCGGCCGCCGGGTTTCTCCGCCTGTCTTCAAGGCGCGTTACGTGGCTCGTGGCTTCAGTCAGCGGCAGGGAGTTGACTACTTTCAGACCTTCTCCCCCACCCGAAGATGACCACTCTTCGGGTCCTGCTGCACGTTGCTGCTCACCGTGGACTACGAGCTGCACTCTCTCGACTTCAGCACAGCTTTCTTGCAGGGCAGCCTGCACGAGGAGATCTGGCTGCGTCCGCCCACCTGGCTTCACTGGGTCTTTCCCTCCTGGTACCCAGTGGAGTCTCCGGCGTCCAGTCTACGGTCTCCGCCAGGCGCCACGTGAGTGGCACGACACACTGAGGACTACGCTCGCGGCACTTGGGTTTGCTCCTTCTACTGCCGAACCGTCGCTGTTTCTGCGCACCGACACCTCTCTGCCGCCGTTCTACATCCTCGTGTACGTCGACGACTTGGTCTTTGCCACAGCTTGACACTGCTGGACTCGCCTACGTGAAGTCCGAGCTGCAGAAGAAGACACACGTGCACTGACCTGGGTGAACTGCGCAGCTATCTTGGCTTGCAGATCACCCGGGGGACAGAGCACGCCGCACCATTACCCTGACTCAGTCACACCATGGTGCAGCAGGTCCTTCAGCGCTTCGGCTCACGTTACTCCTCGCCTCAGGCCACTCCTCTGCCTACTCGCCACTACGCTCTCTAGCTCTGCCTTCGGATGAGTCCGTAGATTCGAGTGGCCCGTATGCAGAGCTTGTTGGCTGCCTCATGTACCTGATGACCTGCACACGACCTGACCCTGCATACCCTCTTAGCATTCTCGCACGCTATGTTGATCCTGGGAGACACACGACCAGAGCACATGGCTGCAGCGAAGAGGGTGTTGCGCTACTTGTGCAGTACGTCGGGCATGGGGCTAGTGCTTGGAGGGCGCAGTCCAGTGGTCTCCTCACTGGGCACAGCGGACGCTTCTTGGGCTGACGACCAGGCTACGCAGCGGCCGTCACAGGGTTTACACCTTCAGCCTTGGTTCCGGCTCTGTTTCGTGGCGGGCTACCCGCTCGTCTTCTGTTCTCGGCTCCAGTTGTGAGGCTGAGATCTACGCCGGGGCTATGGCTGCCCAGGAGTTACGCTGAGCTCACCTACCTGTTGACCGACCTTGGAGAGCAGCCTCGTTCTCCTCCAGTCCTGTACGTAGACAACAAGGCCATGCGGGCCTTGTTGTCGAGAGCAGAGACTGGAGCACAGAACGAAGCACATTGCTCTCCGCTACTTTCTTGCTCGTGAGCTACAGCAGCGTGGACAGTTGCGACTTGCGTACGTGGCCTCTGAGGCCAACACTGCTGATGTCTTCACCAAGGCACTTGCGCCTTGTGATCATCAGCGTTGTTGCACGCAGTTGGGTTCTTGTGCCTGTCTTGCCTCACTTGCTCTCCTCTTGACCTTGCTTGTACCTTCGCCTATATATACTCTTGCTCTTGCTTACTTGACTCTTGTATATCTCTATATATGATCTTGCATGTGAACTGGCCATGTGGCTTGAACTTGTGCTCGGAATGTGTGGTGACTTTGTGATCCACCCTGAGCTTTGCTTTGCTTTGCTTGACTGGTCTTGTGACCCCTTGTTCTCCCCCACTTTGCCTATGGGGGTGTGTCAGAACTATATAGCTTATACTATTGTGTAGGCTATAGTGGGGTATCCCATAGGGGGTACAACCCAATTAGGGTTTCCTATTTGTACTCACTTCTTTCATAGTCATTCCATTCTCGTTCTCTCTTTCACAATACTGCGGGGGGGGGGGGGGGGGGGGGGGGGTGGGGGGGGGTGGGGGGGGGGTGGGTTCTTAGCAAGAAACTCCGGCTTGAGAGCGGAGCGGAAGCGAGCCTCACTAGTGTGGAGGTGGGTAAAGAGGTCAGCGATAGTGATGAAGGCGGCTTGGTCCGGATGCAGGTACGGCAACATGAGACGGCCTACGGCAGCAGTGACCGGGAGGAGTAGTGAGCGACGACAGCGTCATAGAGGGCCTGGGCTGTTTTTTGCTGGCTAAAATGCGCTCATTCAGCGACAGAAAGGTGGTTGCGAACCGCAAGGAGGGCAGTGGCATCGCGAATCATCCACTGAGTATCAGCAGCTTTCTCTGTGGCAGGTGGGGTAGGGAGGGTTCCGTTGGTATGCCGATAACAGGGGAACTCCATCCTTGGCCTCGCTCTGCAAGAACAGCCGGAGGTCATCGAGCCATATGTCAAAGTCGATCCGCAGCGGCCCTCAGCGGTCAAAACTAAGAACGGAGACAGTAGTCATAGTAGCAGTAGCTGAGAGGAGCAGCTGCAGCAAGTAGCAGCAGGCAGCAAGGAGGAGCAGCTGCAGTAAGTAGCAGCAGCAGCAAGTAGCAACAGCAGCAGCAAGGAGGCGCAACTGCAGCAAGTAGCAGCAGTAGCAGCAAGGAGGAGCAGCTGCAGCAAGTAGCAGCAGCAGCAGCACCCAGGAGAAGGCGCACAGCAGCAGCAGCTCAGGCGCAGTAGCAGCTCGGGCGCAGCAGCAACTCTGGTGTAGAAGTGCGCTAGCAGTCTGCGGGCAGGGCGAGCAGCGCATGCGACAACAAATGCAACGCGCGAAGCAGCAGGGGCATCGCGCAAGTAGCGGGCGCAGCGTGCGAGCTGCAGTACAGGGCGTCGCGTAGGCTGGGGTGGGCTGTACAGGCCGTGTGCGCGGGCCTGGCGTGGGCTGTACATGTTTCGCGCGGGCCTGGCATGGGCTGCAGAGGCTGCGCAAGGGCTAGCGCGGATTGTACGTGTTAAGAATACTAGGCAAGAATGATTAGATTAGGTCAAGATGGGGTACAA